CTGTGACAACGTGAGGAACAACAGAGCTTGTACATTGCACGTTATTATCGTCCATATTGTGAAGAAAATTATCTCTATCGACAAGTACAGACGTTTTATGCAAATTTCAAGAAATACATAATCAAAAATATCGGTTGTACAGGTAGGAGTTTCGTTGAACTGAAGGGATTGAAAGAATTGGAAGATGGTTGAAAAGTTTTTCAAATGATTGATGAACAAAAATGTATTTTAAAAAAATTGGAGAAGTCGATCTGAATTTATGTTGTTGTTGATTATCCTATTTATCACATATCTATAACCTATTTTTATCTGACTGTTTATGTGGAATAACGCTATGAAAGAATCGAGTCAACTCACGCACCTCCACCGCCCATCATTTCGCTTCACTCTCTTATCTTCACTTTGCTCTCTGATTGTCTGTTCAGATTTGCGAGTGTAGAAAATATATTTGTTGGAAATCCATTCTCGTATTGGGCTCTTTTACTTCCGTTATTCACTAAGCCTACTAAATGCCTTGGCACAGCCGAGAATGTAGAGAGTCCGCTCTCCCTCTCGAAATGCTCTCACATGGCCACGCGTATATAGCCTTTGCCAGGGAAGTCCTACTCACTGCCTTCTCGTGGCATTACAGTTGTTTACGAAATTGACAGGACTAAATGTGAATGTCTGCCGCTTTAACCGTGTCTATGGACACGGAAAGTCCACCTAGGGGAGTTGGGAAACCCTGATTCCAAACAAATGGTTCACATGGGTTCCAGTATCCTGAGGGAACAAATGGGATATGAATCAATCGTCGGTCACTGGCTGCTATGGGACTGCATCCCCTCACGATGCTCCAACGACTTGTGGGTTACACGTTTAGGTCAAAGGCTTGGGGTATGGCCTCCTGAGAAAACCACCTGCTTCGGTCTGTCAGTCAGTCAGTTACAACGCAGAACTTCGTACGTACGTACTTCAGTTCGAGTTGTCATACCACATTAGCACAGAGATGCAGTCGTCGATTCAAATCCCATAGTGGTAGAAGTAGTAAGAGTATAAGTATTATGTGAAATATAAGGGTTTGAAGACGTTATTGAAGGAGTATAATACGGTGAGATAAATTTGGAAAGAGAAAAAGGATACGGACAAAAAGAATTCAGAAGATTAGAATTCGGTAGAACATAAAGAGTGTATGCATCTTCGCCATTGCAAACGATTTTGAGCCATGACATTCAAGGTCTCTAACCATCGATTGCTATCATCTCGCGGATCCCAACCAGGTAGTCTACACCTACCAACATGGCTCAGTCCACTTGTCAGCGTCTTCATGGATTTATGCCATGTTTTGGTCTGGCAGCCCCTAGCTTTCTTCCAACCTACTCCTACACCATGGAACATTGCACGTCGGGGCAGTCGGTGGTTGGCATACGTAACACGTCCCAGCCATCTCAACTGATGAAGTTTCACTACTTCATCAATCGATTTGCCAACCTTACCTAATACCCGTTTCCTAACAACTGCATTGCTGACTCGGTGGTCCCAGAATATACGAGCAGTGCTTCGCAGACACCTATGATCGAATACTAGTAGTCTACGAATATCCTCTACTCTTATCGTCCATGCATCACTGCCATAAAGTAAAACGGAGCGAACTGCTGCACAGTAAACCTGTCCTTTTATTGCTAGACGAGCCTTCTGTATCCGTGCTGAGATTTCGTCACACACCAGACCACAAGGGCTGATGAGACTCACAAGATAAGTGAAGCTGTCATTACGCTCAACTACGTCACTCCCTATCAATAGTTCAGGTGTCGATGCAACCCAATCCTGAAATAACATTTTGCACTTCGAGGGAGAGAATCGTATCCCGAACATGCCTGCATTGTTGCTTATAGTGGTCAGAAGACTGCATTTTGTCAGCGTCTTCACCGAATAAAACTATGTCGTCGGCGTATTCTAAGTCAACAAGTGAGCCTCCTGGTAAAAGTTCAACTCCAGGAGATTGAAATGATGAAAGTGATACCTCTAAAAGCTTGTCAACTACAAAGTTAAACAAGAATGGGGAGAGTGGACAGTCCTGACGAACACCACTGACGTAGAGTGAATATCTGATCTAAGCAAAAACCACGTCCAGGTCGAAAACCAACCTGGTTTTCTCTAGTCTGCTCTTCACGAGCTTTGGATAGGCGCCTAAGTATTATTGAAGCTAATATTTTAGACACTATATTAGTCAAACTGATTCCTCTGTGATTGTCGCAGGAGGACTTTTATCCTTTCTTATAGACTGGCACAATCAGTGATTGGGACCAGTCAGATGGAATTACGTGCAGTTCCCATATTCTACCTAAGACCTCAGTCAATCTCGTTGCTAGTACTGGACCACCATCCTTAAAAATCTCAGCGGTAAACCTGTCAAGGCCTGCAGCTCCCCCTCGCTTCAGATTTCCTATAGCTTTTTCAACCTCGTAGAGAGTTGGAGGACTTACCTCAATTTGCCATTCAGGACGACTGGGGATCGTGGGTAACTGAAGTGTGGCTGAAGGCCAGTTGAACTGATCCCTAGAGTGTTCTGCCCATCGATCCAATCTCCTGGATTGAGAATGAATGATATCCCCATCTTTGTCTGAGATAGTTTTGCTAATAGTTGGGTTCCTAATACCGGTTTTTTTGATAAGTCTAAATCGCTGTCTGCTGTTACCTATTGCCGCTGCCTTTTCCATCTCTCTTGCTTTCGCTACCCACCACTATTCACGATCATTGCGTAGGCTTCTTATTAGCCTTCGCTTAAGCTGACTCCGCTCTTCGTTATGTTCAGAGCCAGGTGGGATGAGACGGTCGCCATTATCTGTTCTTTCCGCCTTGACACCATAAGATCCTCCCAGGTGTCTTTCCCTTTCACTTAGTTTACCTACTTGAGCATTAAAGACACTAGCCATTGTTACTACATCCGAACGTCTAGCTTTTCGGAGAAGGTCAGAAAGTTTCCTGTAAAACTCATCTTTTATATCGTCTGAGCTACAGTCAGTGGGAGAGTAGGCAGAGATGACGAAGAGACAATGTTCGGATATTAAAAGTTCCTATATGTAGTTTAGAGCGTGGTTTCAGGAGACCGGGAATAACGTTCCGTGTACACGAATCGTTTGCCCTAGCGGTGCGAGGTGATAAAAGGAGGTGGGAAGGGTTAGTCGTGGAGATAAGAGAGTTGTTAGGAGGTGTAGGAAGGATTTGAAAGTGACCAACTTGGTCTCGTGTGCTGTTACGGGTATGAGGGCTGCCCACACCGTGGAATGGTATTTCTTGAGGGACCTGAAAAAGAAGTTGGATTAGTGTTGTTCTGAACGACCTGGGAGCGTGACCGCCGTGCCTAAGGGACAACTGCTTGAGGCCGGTCACACACGACCTTTTTATTGGGGATTTTTGAAGTGTTAGCTCCGTTTTTCAAAGGACCTTACCGCCGGAGGCGGAAATCCGTGGGATAAGGCGAGGTGTGCATTCTTAGGGTCGACCTTTTCTAACAACACCTGTCCTTGTGGGTAGGCAGCATCGCTGTCATGCTGGTTGTCTGAGGGAAACACCTTACTGCCGTCACACCTCTGTACAGTTGACAGTAGGACTTCGCCTTCGGACCTTGAGATTGTTACTTTTAGTCTTACCGCTCTTCAACCAACCTGTCTGGCATAGTAGGACCTCGAGGAACGATTGTTCCAGCCAGCATAGCTCGATTGCTTCATCACGATAGGCAAGCCCGACCACCACGTCAAGGTAGCAGCAACGGTCGGGGATCGGTCTAGGCATCCGGGTAGTATCATAGCCCTCACACACTTAAATCAAATGACATTTTTTGTGTGGCGCATTTATATCTGATGTCCTCTTGTACCGATATTTATGTGTTGAAATAAAATAAATATTCACTAAGGCGATTGAAGTCAATAATAATATACGATAATAGTCAGGATGTGTATTTCGTTGACAATCAACATACAATCTCTAATTGGAGTCAGATTTAGGGATACAAAAGTTGTGTGACTATCGACAACATCTTACGGTCTAGTTGACGTTTAAATGAATGATCCCACAAATCTAGTTATAAGATATTAGTTTTTAAAAGTCAATTAATGAACAAAGTATTGTTTGACTGTTATTCTACAACGACTTGACAAACATAAATTTTGGTGAGTAATAATTACGAAAATAGATCGAAAAAACCAATTTAGTTCAACAATACCATATGTTATATCCTCCTCTTTGTATAATCAAACTAAACGGTGTTTTCAGCTTACTTTCGCAAATACTGCTCTTCAGTATTTTAGTCTTCGCCGAATAATGTGTTAGCATTTGAAGCAATAGATACGGAGTCCCAATCTCTGTAAATTTTAACGCGAGGGTGTTATTTCATCTTAATTGATAATTCTGATGTAAGTGGAATTTAATTATTTGCGAAATCCCTCAAAGATAATCGTTGTCATGGAAACTTTATAGCATTCTACTCATTTCTCAATTTTCACTAACTGTAATTTAACTTTTTATTAAACTTGTATTAGTAGCCATTTCATGTGTGGTTAATTATTATTATCAGCATGGGGTTAGTGAGATTGTTGAGTTTAGATCGATATCATGGATGAATCAATGTTAGGTCACCATTGAAGACCTGAAAGCACTGGGCGACCGTTTCGTCCCAGTATGTGACTCCTCAGCAGTGTTCATCCACGATCCCACACGTGAGCATCGGACGCAGAACCCTTTGCTGAAGTTAGACATTAACACCGTTGTATGCCGGCCCAGTGGTCTAGAGGTTAAGCGTTCTCACGCGAGACTAGAGGTCCTGAATTCGAGTCCCATATGCGGGATCATGGATGCACACTGCTGAGGAGTCCCATACTAGGACGATGCGGCCATTCATTGCTTCCAGGTTGTCAGTGGTGGTCTAACATTGATCCATTCATCATATCAATCTAGTTGTTATAAGTATTTAATAACATGTTGTTCTTTTCTTTCAATATTACATCATTATTCTATTTCAGATACCATTTTCAAGGAAAATCTGGTGATGTTCTACCTAAACTGTTTGACTCCTTAACCTTAACTTAGTCGATATGATAATTGATCATTGTTTTGTAATCTTTGTTTACGGTGAATCATTTGTATAGTCCATTCTAATTACACCTTCTATTGGAATATCAGTTGGACAAGAAGAATGAAACCAGTTAATGAACCGATAAACCTTTTCTGTATATAAAATGCAGTGTTTAAGAGGTGGAATAAATATTATGAATTATTAGAATTCAAAAAAATACTGCTTTTTTACAAAAGGGTCTAAAGAGATGTGTAGTTATTTTTTATATCTTCATTATATTTCTTTCTATTACCATTTTATAAAACTGACAAATTCAATTACCTACCATCAAGGTAACATTATTCAGTGAATCACATGAATAAATGATTGTATTATTGATGTATATCACAAAATCGTTTTATTGTACTTTCTTTTCAGGGAGGTTTTCATCAATGTGGTTGTTGTTTTGTCCATTTCAGTTTCTATCTTTTGTTTAGTTCCCAAAAGTCATTTATGACAGAGAACTTTACTTTTGTACCTATACCTTTTTCATCAGCCGAGATTTTCAGCTTCATTCGCTTTTTGTGCTATAAAGCAAGATGTCACCTAGCCCCTCCCGAAATAGTGATATTTCAATCGTAATTTTGGTAGAATTTATACTTTTTGGCTTGTTAGCCTCTGTTACTATTTGTTTTCCGATATAATAAAGTTGTTAGCAAGCATAGTCTACGTTTGAAGAGAGTGTCATTAGTCGTAACAGTAGTCATGCGTAAGTTGCTAGAATACAGGTAGTGATTGGTTGTCTGAAATAATACAGTATGTTTTATTGTTTTTTTCATCAACCGCGCGATGATGATCAAAATTCCGTAGAGGGATTTCTTTTTAAACAAAGTTATTTTCAACATGTACATTTTTCATAAATTGTAGAAGAAGTTGGTCATGCAGTAGTAATCAATGCCATGTTTGTGTACTCTTTAGTGGTTATTGAATTTTGTCGGTTAAGTTGCAAAGTGATCTCTAATCTAGAAAAAACATGCAGTTTTGATATCAGGTAGTTGAATATTGCAAGCAAATGGACACTCGAGTCTGGAATACTTCAGTGGTAACGTCTTGGATACAAGCTAGATAGCCTCGTTCGACTTCCAGAGCGAGCATCTGCCCTCTTGAAAATGCAGGTAACCCTTACTGATGAGTGTAAACTGGCACGAAACTTAGCTCCAGAGTTTCTTGTAGGCTAACTCTAGCTACCTCAGTGGATAATCATGATAATAGCTAGTAAAGTGTAAATAACAACGGAATATGTTGATTCACACAATTTATATAGTTAATGAACCGATGTCAAACTCGTAAATAATCTCTTAATGTTAACTAAAGACAAATTCAGTAAAAATGATTTATTCCCTTGTTTAACGCTGATGTTACTAGAAATACTATATTATCTGACGCCAGAAACATTCGACAGCTAGAACAAGAAATTCGGTAAAGGGAATGGAATGCTTTATAACCGTGTTAAAGATAAACATCGAGTAAAATTCCTCCGTTTAAATATGCTTCATTTCATGAATGGGCTCTCTCTTCTATACGGTCCTATTGGATGAACGAATTTTATAAGGATTGGATGGTTTTCAATACTAGCACTCATTAGGTTGCAGTCTCGAACTACACTTTATCCCTTTATTTTTGGCAGGCGGGAGTCATCAATAATTTTCCCATGAAGTTTGCAGGAGAATGAAATACGCAATAATTTGTTCTGAATGAATTTATTACACCAAATTAATCAGAATACATGGGATTAAAATATTTGTAGTTTTTTTAATTAGAAATATCTTCAGTTGCTTTGTTGCCCACCTATGTAATTGTGTAATGTGTCTCATTCAGTGAGTTCGTTATTCGTTGTATAATGGAATGAATAAATGCAAAAACTACTCAAAAGTAGTTCACATTTTAAAGATAAATTTATGTGGCCTAATTAAGAGCTACTACTGTATGTTGGCAAACGCGTTGTGATTTGAAATATATCGGACAAATTATGTTGGATTACATACTTCTCATTTACTGAAGGACTGCTGTTTTTTAAACCTGAGACTTTTGACATTTATTTACCTGTATGTAATGGTTCGTAGATGTTCACTACATTAAGTCTTTCGTAGTCAGTGCATAGAAAATTGTTAATAACTTTGTTACCATATAGACTAACTTAGTAAACTAGCTAAATATAGCATCATTATCGAATTTATTGTGAAGTTTATATGATTATGGTTGTTACGCCAAGCAAATCAAGACAGGCCAAATGTCTCGAGGTCGCGTGTGTGTTGCGAATGTGGGTGGTTGATTATTAAAGTCAGGGATACTGCCGACATTTTTTTCTCTAGACAAACAGCGTGCAAGGTAACTAAATCGGAAAGTAAACCACAAGAATTGGTTACCTATACAAATCTGCATGAAGAAATAAACGTATTGTTGGAAGCAACGGACGAAATTTCTATACACGAAGATTGTTTTATTTCAGTCTAGGCACTTCAACTGTGCCCGATCATTTCGAGAAGTCGAAAGTGTTTCAGAGGACAAAAAACCACATCGAGGCTAACACTCATTATTCAGTCAAGTTGTTTACAATCAGTCGGTCACAACGTGGAACTTAGTACTTACGTACATCAGTTCCAGTCGCCATACCACATTAGTACAGAGATTTTTTATTTATTTATTTAAACACATATATTGGTACAAAAAGGCACCAGATACATACGCGCCACACAAAATAATGAAAGAGAAGGGATGAAAAGATAAGGCGAACTGAAATGTACAACCAGAAGGCTCTTTCAGTTAAGAAAGTTAGAACCATTCTTTATGTAGAAAGTAAAAGAAGGTTGCAGCAGGATCGCCACTGTCTTTTACTCTTAACCATATCTGATAACGTCTCTAGCCACTGTTGCACCATCTCTCGGACCCCAGCCAGGGAGTCGTGAAGGACCAACAGAAGCTAGCCCTTTGCAGCTTTCTTTCATGCCACGACACCATGTCATACACTGACCTCTCCGCTTTTTCCAACCAGTCCCAGAGTCGGCAAATAATGCACGGCGTGGAAGTCTCTGGGACGACATTCGTAAAACATGTCCAAGCCACCGAAGTCGGTGTTTCAAGATGGTGACACCAATTGAATTATCGTCTCTGCGCGCGAACTCACGATGCCGAACCTCTGCATTACTAACATGGTGTTGCCACTGTATATCAGCAATCCTTCGGAGACAACGATGATCGAACACAGAGAGACGTCTAACATCCTCAACTCGGAGAGGCCAGGTTTCACAAGCATAGAGCAAAACTGCTCTCACCGACGCGTTGTAGATCCAACCTTTTACAGCCAGACTAACATCACGAAGGCGCTAAAGATGGCCCAGATTGGCATAAGCCGCTCTCGCTTTCCTTATACGTGCATCAATCTCATCACTCACGCCACAACCAGCACTTATATAGCTACCTAGATACGCGAACTTCTCAACTACTTCAATCTGCTCACCATCCAGGGTGAGTACAGGATTAGAATCCTGCCAGTCTTGTAGGAGTACCTTGCACTTGGAGGGTGCGAAGCACATGCCGTATCTGCGAACACTGATTGCCAACTGATTAAGTGCAGATTGTATGCCTTGGGCATTATCGCACAGTAAGACAATATCATCCGCATACTCAATGTCGAGAAGTCGTTCTCCAGGCAACATATCCACACCGCCATTACTTACATCCATCAGAGCTGTTTCCAGGATGTCGTCAATGGCAAAGTTGAAGAGGAATGGTGAGATCGGGCAACCCTGCCTCACCCCACTGTTCGAATGGAACAAGGGAGAAAGGTGGTTGTATGCCCTGACTCTGCCTGAGGTGTTCGTATACAGGGCCTTTAAGATGTTAATGAACTTCTCAGGCACACCCTTCTTCAATAGACAATCCCAGAGAACAGTCCTGTCCAACGAATCGAAGGCCGCCCTGATATCAAGAAACACTACTATTGTTTTCCTGCGATAAGTATGACGGTGTTCTAACATTTGGCGGAGGGTGAAGATGTGATCAATGCATCCTCGACCAGAACGAAGACCAGCCTGCTCCTCGCGAGTCAATCGTTCTCGGGTTTTAAACAACCTACGAAGAATGACAGAAGCCAATAGTTTGGACGTAATCAGAAGTAGACTTATCCCCCGATAGTTGTTACAGGAACAACGTGAACCCTTTTTAAAGATACGGATGACTATTGACTCATTCCATGATGTTGTAACACTCTCTTGCTCCCAAACCTTTCCAAACAACACCGTCAGTTCCTTAGCCAGAAAGTCATCACCATCTTTAAAAGGAGCCGTAGGTAAGTCATCTGGGCCAGGTGATTTGTAGCGCTTCAAGAGTTGGAGTTCCTTGCGGACTTCCGCCTCGTTTGGTGGATCAGTCGTCACCGGCTATGGTGGGCAGGGCAAACTGGTTGATGTTGCCGGAGCAGCAGGCCAGTTGAACTGCCCTTCGAAGAATTCCGCCCATCGTCGAAGATGTCGAGAGATGTTAGTGATTGGCATCCCGTCATCCTCCTAGATTGTTTCACTCACACCAGACTTCTTGCTGCCAGTGGCTCGGATGAGTTGGAAGAGCTTCCGGCAGTTACCAGATGCAGCTGCTGCTTCCATCTCAATAGCACGCTCCAACCACCAGGCTTCGCGGTCCTTACGCAAGCTTTGCCCGATTTCATCACGTAACAGCCTTCGTTTGTGGTCAAACTCACGGTCACCCGGAGTAGACCGACGGGCTTCCATCAGTTGTAAGGAGCCAGAAGAAACCCAGTGCTTGTAAACGGGACGTTTCGCGAAGCCGCAAGCGGCTTTACTCGCCATTTTCATGGCGTCATGAAGATGCAACCAATGCTCATCTATACTTTTCGGTGGGGTGGTAGCTAGCCTAGAGGCTAGCTCCGCTCGATACTTACTTGCAACAGATGTTGCAGCCAGTTTACTAACATCGATCCGTTGGTGGTGGTCAATCCTTCGGCCACTGAAAAGTAAGGTGAGATTGGCGCAGACCAGGGCATGATCAGACTCCAGATAGGTACTCCAAAAGGAGCGGCAGTCTTGTACACAACCACGCCAGCGGTAGCTGATCGCGATGTGGTCAATCTGAGTTCAGGCTTGAGATGCAGAGGGAGGACGCCAGGTGGCACACCGGCGATGACTGTGCCGGAAGTTAGTGCTAGCCAGAAACAGGTTGTGGTCTGTGCACAGTTGCAGCAAACGGTCCCCGTTATCTGTCCTGCGACCAACAAGTCCCCATCGGCCACCTAAACGACTCTCTTCTGTGCCTAGATGCCCCACCTGAGCATTCAAGTCTCCGGCTATTGCCACAATATCTGTCGAACGCGCTTTCTGGAGAACTGTTAACTGGTGGTAAAACTCATCCTTGATTGCAATCTGTCGGAGCATAGGCGGAGATGACGAAAAGACACCGTTTCTCACGCCGGTTTCTTCTCACTTTGATGGAACTTTCTAATCTAACAGCACATAACCGACTGTTAATGGGGATCCAATCGATTAGTGCTGCCTCAGCCCTAGCGCTTAGTGCGACACCAACGCCTGCAAGACCAGACGAAGATGCCACAGGGTCCCCGGATAAGCGCACGTGAAACAAGCTTTTCAAAGCGACAGATGGAGAGCGAATTTGTAGTACTTCACTAGAGTCTTGAATGCGGGTCTCAGATAGACAGCAAACATCAACATTAAGACTTTCTAAAGACATAGCCAGCCCCATCTGTTGTCCGATCTGCATTAGTGTGCGAACGTTGAAGGAAGCCAGCTTGAACGGCTTACGTGGTTTCAGAAAGACTGCTTCAGTATTCATAATCGGTGGAAGCATTCACTTTCAACCAGACAGTGACTGGAGATCGTTTAGATAGGACAGAGTTTCCACCATGGGCGAGCTACTGCATAAGTTGGAAAGGAAGGATATACAAATTGGGAATAAAGGGAGTGAAAAAGCGACGTAGTAAATAATAGTAATAATAATAATAATGGTAATAATAATAATAATATTAGTGTAAATTGTCTTGCTTCTAATATGAGCGAGAATAGTATCGTCAATAGAATTCATCATTTCATTTATTTACATCATGAAACATTAGTACAGAGATGCAGTTGTCGATTCAAATCCCATAGGGGTAGAATTAATAAGAGTATAAACAATAATCGGAAAGATTAGGGTTTGAAGATGTTATTCAAGGAGTGTAATCCAGTGAGAGATAAAAGATAGGGACATGAAGAATTCAGAATAGAATATGGGAGAACACGTAGAGTGGACGCACCTTCACCATTGCAAACAATTTTGAGCCATGACATTCAAGGTCTCTAACCATCGATTGCTATCATCTCGCGGATCCCAACCAGGTCGTCTACACCTACCAACATGGCTCAGTCCACTTGTCAGCGTCTTCATGGATTTATGCCATGTTTTGGTCTGGCAGCCCCTAGCTTTCTTCCAACCTACTCCTACACCATGGAACATTGCACGTCGGGGCAGTCGGTGGTTGGGCATACGTAACACGTCCCAGTCATCTCAATTGATGAAGTTTCACTACTTCATCAATCGATTTGCCAACCTTACCTAATACCCGTTTCCTAACAACTGCATTGCTGACTCGGTGGTCCCAGAATATACGAGCAGTGCTTCGCAGACACCTATGATCGAATACTAGTAGCCTACGAATATCCTCTACTCTTATCGTCCATGCATCACTGCATCACTGTAAAACGGAGCGAACTGCTGCACAGTAAACCTGTCCTTTTATTGCTAGACGAGCCTTCTGTATCCGTGCTGAGATTTCGT